TGTAAAAATAACATCAAAACTAGTCAATGAATGCATCTAAAATCTCCAAAACCTGGTGAAACACAACAACCTGACAATCTTCGGTATTTTGAAGGAGGAATAAAGTAAAATATAATAAATAAGGAATTTTGGGTAACGAAAAAGCAGACACACTGGCCAGAGTAGGGCCTGCAACACCTTGAACCTATTATAGGGATAACAAAACCAAATACAAAATCCTCGATCAACAGAATGGATCCAAACTTTTTTGTAAGAGAAGAGGATGAACTAAGCGGGTAGAAATAATCATAAATTATTGTTAAAAATGCTAGACACAGTAAACTTATGCTAAAACAACCAAGACCTCACCAAGACTGGCAAATTCTGCAATTGGAGAGGGCCAGACTCAGAGCATTGATAGCACTATTAACCTTCACTGGCATTTGAGAAAACCTCTACATAACATGGGCATATTCAAAGATGATCCAATTTTCAGATTATACAATGAAGAAGAATAAACAGCCACCCATATCACCTAGGATTTAAAAAAAACTTCTGAGAAGAAGGATTGAGTCAATTTCACTGAACTAGGAAGGTACAATAAGTAAGAAAGATGCAGAGCCTGGGGAGCACAAACCCCGCTTCCTACTATCCATCATCATCAAGATGCTTCTACATGACTCGAGTATACAAGGCGAAAAACCATATTCTACCCCCTAGTGAATATGATGAAAATTTGCCCTTTGTCTTCTTGCCCGAAATAGGGAAGAAAGAAATATCGGACTATATATAAAAAAAAAAAAAAAACATATCTTTAGGAGGGTTTCTCGTCAGGACTCTATAAATTCAATTAGAAATACGGAGAAACAAAGATTGTCATCAATTAAATTGCTATGTGTTGATTCTGCAAAGAAACAGATTCGTTAACAGGCCATACAACAACATGACTCCGCAGTAGAAATTGTTTTGGGACCTACAACACAACCGAGGGGAAAATAATACCGTTACAACCGGAGCCAGCAATAAAATTCACAGATGAATTAGGGTTCAACGATGTCCCGTAGGTACAGAAAGGGTGATACAATAGCTCTTGAAGGGCGCGGTATAATTGAAACCGAATTCTACCTTCCACAGTATAGCTTTCGGCTAGATTATAGTCAAAGTTTCATTACTTTTCTACAATATTCATAGACGTTATGAAAAAAATATAGTGAGCCGGATAAATGAGGAAATTGCCATCACGACAGTCTTTATTTAAGGAGAAAAACGGATTAATCAAAGGGTTTACAGAGACACAAAACTTGGATTTATAACATTTCAATAGAGAAAAGTTGTTAGAAATCAGAACAAATCGAAAAACTTTCAACCTTGTTCATCAAATAAAACAAATAATTAACACTATCTGCGCAAAATGTAACAAATGGGCAATTTAAAATGATAATTGACATCAAAGATACTTAACATCGAAGAATATCACTATGGGGGGAAAAACAGGCTTTTTTTTTTTTTCAATTTTTGAAATAAAAAGTTTATCTGAAGAATATGACATGTTCGATGATAAGAGTTCAATAACCAATAAAGGGAAATTTTATTGAGTTGAAGCAGTGCGCTATTGATTTGTCTGAATTTATATCGAAGACGAGACAATTAATCAAAAAAGGAAGAGGAATAACTTTAGTGAGTCTTCTAATTAAGAATTGTTACTTAAACCCTTGTACAATATAGCTTCAAAAGTAAATTTTACAACTTGTTCAATTCTTTAATGAAATAACAATTTAACAGCTAGAATTTACATATATAAAATATATTATGCTTTACAGAAACGATCTCTGATTTATGTGTATTGTTCTTATAAAAACTAATAACAAAAATAAAATAATTTCGTAGACAATATGTGGTAGAGAATAACCTAGAATAAGTTGAATGAGAATTTTTAATTAATGTTGTTATTTCGTCCTAGTTTTTTTAATATAAATTACAATTTTATATTTAACAAATAATAAATTTTCTATCTCCTTTCCTCAAATATCTTCTGCAAGAGGAATACTTTGTTAATGAAATAATACGTTTTTAACAGATTTATCTAATTTTCAGGATTAAGGATGTTGTCTGATTTAATTTAATCTAAGTCTTCAGGAATAATAAGTTGTGTAAGTTGTTGATTTATAGTGGATAATTTTAAGGGTCATCGAATCTTCATGACTTTCGATACTGACAAGACAATGGGGACCAGAGTATAGTTAAATTTTGATGAATATGTTAGGTAAGCCCAGGAAAACTTTTGTTGGCTGTTCTCATTTGACATATAACGTTTATCATATCAATAAATAGAGATTGTAGTGTTTCTGAGGGTGCCTACAAGGAGAAAACCTCAACCCTATATTATTTACCCTCTTCATAAGAGGACTTCTTTATGAATCATGGCACTGTATGATTACGTATAGATAAAAAAGCAGTCTTACATGAACTGTTTTGTTGCCTGACTATCGGTTACTGTAAATTTTATAGTTTAAAAAATTAACAAAATTAAAATCAATCATTTAGTTGAAATTGGAATGTAATAAGTTTTGTGGTGATTTTCTTTCCTCCCATTCAAAGCGTGTTATGTTTAAAGGGAGTACAACGTTCATAAAACACACACTACAAAGAATGAAGTACTATCTTTCCTAGACTCATGTCTTCATTACTAAATGGAAACATTATAAAAATCTATATTTAATATTTTATCTATTGAATTGAACTTATCTTCCTTTTTATTTCAAGTGAGATAAGCGATGTTTTCTTGTTCGACAGTAGAAGGACCGAAAGTATAAATCTTCCATCGGACTAGAGAGAGAAATGTAAAGCATGATTTCTGTGAAATAGATCTTTTCATGAAATAGATTGCCCTCTATTATTCTCGTGACAATGCAAGGGTAGGAAATTGAACACTTTCTTTAGGAATGTCTGGATGTAGTCCGAGAGGTAGGGAGGATTACATGAAACACAACGGTGTCAATGGGTCTGCGTTGGCACTTTTGTTCTCTTACAATCTCTTTGAGGTACACGATTCTGTAAAAAGCTCAAACAACCCACTCAATTCTGAATGATTTACCATTTGAAAATGAATCATAGAATTTCATTTCACGTTGAAAATGTATCGTTTTAGTTTTACACATTGGGGTATGATGACTAAAGTTTATTTCAAGAAATATAATGGCCCAATGGAAATTATTTCATACTTAACCAACGAAACTTTAATCCACATGAAATTGATTAGGTGCATTAATAAACTTTTTACACCTATTTTATATTATTGAGGATCTTTTAAAGTTAATTTTAAAAAGGACATGATTAAGTAAAGAAGACGTAGCCACATAATAGTACTTAAAGAGAGATAAATGCTCAATGGAAAATATTTAGAACTTAAAGCTACAAAATGATAACTAACGTAAATTAAATCAATTTACCAGATAAAACAACTTTAACATTAAACTTGTTAAATTTTCATCTACTTATAACTTGTAACAGTTAATTTCAATTAAATATAAGTAGCCGAATGGAAAAATTTGAAATGAGAGTAACAAAAAGTTAACCTACACGTTAAACTACCACCTACACAAAAAAACGTAATTTTTAAAAATTTTCAAGTTAAATCGAATGGTTTCAATTTCATGTCGAATGGAAGCATATGTAAGGAATAAGAAATATTTAAAATAAAACTACAAAACTTTAATCTACACAAATTGAACTATCTACACAGTAAAATGTTAATGTTACATATTAATCCATTTATGTTTAGTGTCTGACCAATTGACCAAATTACTTATTTAAATTAATTATTCTTTTATGTAAGGTCTTGGTTGAGATGAAAAAGTTAGTGTCAGGAGCGGATTGGAACCTACGACCTTCGGCTTAATGTTAATGTAACATTTAATTTCAATTAAACAAAAAGGCCCAATGTAAAGGTTTTGAAATTAAAGATACAACAAGTTAACCAATATATAAATTAAACTATCTACACATTAAAACGTAACTTGTAACATTTTTTAAGTTAAGACGAATGGTTTCAATTTAATGTCGAATATAAGCATTATGTAAAGAATAATGAGAAATATTTCAAACAAAACTACACAAATTGAACTACATCTACATAGTAAAACGTTAATGTAACAATTAACTTCGATTACAACAAAAAGGCCCAATGTTAAAGTTTTGAAGTAAAATTTACTAAAAGCAAACCTACGCAAATTGAACTGCCTACACAATAAAACGTAAATTTAACATTTTGTGAGTTAAGCTGAAAATTTCAATTTCCATTAATGATAGTTCGAACGAAAAAATATTTGAAATTACACATAAACAGTGGAACATGTTATTTAAACACTGTAAATTTACATATGTATATACCTCTAACTATATGTATGATATAGGTTAATTTCAATTAATGATTTAAAATAAAGTAACCCCAGGAAATATTAAAGAATAAAAAGATGTTCATAAATCCTAAAAATACGATTTGTAATTTTAAAACAAACAAGGCCCAAATGAAAATATTTGAAAGACAACGAATAACACAATTTGAACTGTCTACTTGATAAAACATAAGTGTAACAAACTTTTAAATTTTAGCTGTAGAACAAATTATGTATGTAACAACGTGTACAATGGTGTAGATTGACTTTCTAATTGTGGGATTGGCATCAATCATCAATTTTTAAAGACCATTCCTATCAGAGATCTGATGATGTCAACGTAAGAACATTTGCGATTGTATTAATACATTTCTTACTTTTATTGTGAAGTTTTAAAACAAAACAAAAAAATACAATTGTATATGTGTGTATTTTTTTTTGTGTGTAGGCCTTTGGAGTTCGTCTGAAAATGTACATATGTATGTTTTTATGTATAATAAAAGCACAATCTGCATATTTTCTAGACGGAACATATGTTTAATTTAAACATTACACAGTTAATAAGAACCTGTTCATTATTGAATATGAGTTACATCTAAAAGTAATAAAAAAATTGTATTTTCTTACCTCATTGAAAGCCATTGTTAGACGACTGAAGTTGGAAAAAAGAAAAAGAAACTTGACAAATAAAAAATAAAAACAGTATTCAGGAGACGATCCAGAAAAGCAGAGGCCCTTCTCCCACTGATGATGATGGATTATTTGTCATATGTGTCCTATTCACGAAAATCTATCCCGTGTGTCGCGCGATTTCGTTTCCGTCTTCAACGACTAAGACATAATCGTCGTTTGTTTTACATCAGCGAGCTGAGTCAAGATGCGAAAAGACGTTCCTCTGTTTCGGTTTTCGACGGTAACATTCCTCAGGTGGGAAACGTACGTCACACGCTCTGTATTCCTTCCGTTTTGTAAATCAAAACTTGTGACCCATATTTTAAAGATGAAAAACGGCAGGGAATTTTATCAGTCCGACCCGGCCGTCGAAGAGATGGTGCGGATTTTTAAAAAATAAGCCAAGAGCGCCATGTTAGAAGTATAACCGATTGACACATAAGAAGAACCACTCATTTACACTCTCGTACACCTTTGCACGGAACACAAGTTCGACCGATTTGTCAGCTACAGCGGATTTCGACGACTTTTCACCTCGGTTTCCTCTCATCCGACGACGTGACACTCCAAACGCGTCAATCCGGCAAGACAAAACGGAACAAAAAGTCACGAAAATATACGACCAACCGCCATCATCCCACAAGTGAAGGTTTACGATGTACCTTGAAAACGACGACTGGAATATCTAAACCTCTAGAAAGAGAAAAAGATACCTTTCTGCTCTGCCAGTGCCCCCATGATACTTTCTCGCCTTTCAACATAAAATAACAATCACTGTAATACAATTACACATTAATAACAAACGTTAATCGTAATAATAGTGCGTGGTAATAGTATTATTAAACGCAAAATTAAGTTCAGAAACCAACATGAAAATAACTGGCGCCAATTTGGTTCTAATTCAAATAATAAGTTATGGCGCTAACAAAGTTTTTATACCTCTTGGTATACAATCTAAAACATTTTAAAACAATTTTTAATAGATAGATCAATAATGTCTTTTATTTAAACTAAATACATTTTCTTATTTTTTACAAATTAACATGTACAGCATGAACATGTAGTTCGTATGCCGAACAATTCTTAATATATTGACTTGCAAAAACTAACTCATTATTTCTTCAAAATATAACAAAACTAAATACAAATAAAAATTTTTAGAGGATGTTTTTCCATAAACACTGAGCTTTTCATGATTGTTAACGTTAATAATATCTATTTATTTACTTGTGGCAATGTTGTTTTACAAACGTTGAACCCATGTGGAAAACGCATTCAAGTCATACAATGGTTTTTCCTCCAGTATCTTTTTATGAGGGAGAATTAAGGTATCTGGGATCATGTTAAAAAGTTTAAAATTCGTTGCCATTGCTATTTTGAATTGTTTTTGTCCATGAACAAAATTTATATCCGATTTTCCCATTGGGACTTAAGTGACAATTTTGCATTGACTATTTTTTCCTAGGCTGGGCAATCTTACGTCTATTTTACACATTTTCACATAAATGTACAGAAAACATCAAATTTTGAAATTTTCAGACTGGGGTTTACCATGCTCATTGGATTTTACTCCAGCTATAATTCTTATGACATTTTTACCATCTAAAAGCATCTTTTGAGTTATTTTTCCCCATAGACAAATTCCTTAAGCAAAATGTGAGTGAAACGGGCCATAGTATGCAATTAACAGTGCACCAGTAACTAAATCAAGTCTCAATTTCCAATTATGAAAATTGACCATTACAAACTTGAAAAATATGATCATTCCACAATAGCTTTTGGTTCAGGCTAAATCCCAAATATTTCAAACTACAAGAATCCTTCGTACTTTCAACATTTTGAATGTGAACATCATTTTTATGGTTTTATTTGGATTTAGTGCAAAACAATTACAAGACAATTTGCACAGTTTCTCTTATGTTTTCTGAACCAATATTATTGACAGATTTAACATACTCTTGACAACAGCAAACAATATTAAATTGCTGTTTATACTAACAGGCAGGTCATTAATATCGACTAGCAAACAAATTGGGCACATAACAGAACCTTGTAGTATACCACAATTGAGTAGAGTGGGATCCAAAGTCGCACCAACATATAACTTAAAACTTGTATCCTGTCTTTCAAAAACCTTCTGTTAACAGCATGCTTTTTTTAAAAAACGTTCTATAAAATTTTAATTTTATTAGTAACATTTCAGGTGAAACACAATCAAAATGTTTTAGACAGATATAAATATATCATTCAAATGCCAATTGCTGCAAAGTCTCGAGGTACTTGTCTTGGCATTTGCGAAATAGACTGCCTATGTATACACACATGCATGTTCGTACAACCACTCAGTTTGTGGAGAAACAGCGAATACGTATTTGCCAAGTGCTGTGCAAATCCTCAAATTACTACCAATTGTGATGGACAACAGTGAAACCGTCATTGCTGCAGCTGCGGTTACTGTTTTTTTTGCAGTGCCTACAAACTCAGTCACAAATTAGTCACAGAATACTGTTGCCCCATCTTACTTTCAGTCCGTTTCCACATATCGAATCTTGTTCCAATTTTTGTGTTTGGAAGAGAAGGATTCCAAATTATTGGTTAAGCTTGGTACAGATCGAGGAACTCCAAGACTGTTATGCTGGACTATATTCTTAACTGACAGAAACAATGCTTTTGATGTTCTTTCATTAACACTCTATATGAGTTAGGAATCGTTTTTTATTGCTGGAAAAAATAGCAGTGTCGATTGACGATTACAGCTGCTATACATACAGACAGTTGAATATGTGGACAAACATCTGAGCACCCATTCCAACTAATCAGGATTCAATGAACCTTTGCTCGGCATTTGGTGAATCGCACATGTCTGGTGCTGGAGCCATCTTTAGAAGATGGCTACTACTTAGTTATTTCTTTCAAAAGAATTTTAAATCTCTCTTATAAGGAGATTAGCAGTGTCAGCAGTTGAAAGGCCCCTCCTACAGCCATACTGTTTAACATACCAAAGTGCTTTCTGATTCATACAATTTACGAATCGGTCTTTTACTGTAGTTTCAATTATTTTAGAAAAACTATAGGCCTATCATGTTCTCTTCTTCTATTTTTCCTTTTTTTAAATAGTGGCAGTACTATAGTGTTTTTGTTTTGTTTTAGCCAAATAGGAAAAACACCAATTTGAATACAATTGTAATCTATATGTTTACTGGGATAATGAATACTGCTCAGTTTTTGACCAAACTATTTGAAAATGCAAAAACATCTTTAGCATGAGTTTTAACAAGTTTTTTTATCACAGCCATTACTTGATCACAACAGGTACAAAAGAAAAGTGCGAATTATATACATTGAGTCAGCTTACAATTCACAACCTTGATTTGGTTATAACTAATATAGACCGCATCTCATGATTTCCAAATAATCATAGACTAACGGTCACTAATCACCACACACTAATATCACATTTGACCTGCTCCACAGCCATAACAAAGAAATTACCAAAATCAGATAGATCATATTTATTTAAATAACATTTTTGTTTAATATTAATAATCTTCTTAATAACAATAATAATAAATTTTCATTTATATAGAATTACAAAAAATTAAATTTGTACATCATAAAGAAACAAATAATTATTTATTATGCATAATCAGCTTAGGCTGAGGGTTGTTGGTTGCTTTATTTACATGAATGTTTTGATTAAGCAAATAAATGCACAATGATAACTATAAGAACAGCTTTGTGCCACTACTCTTTGCACCACATTTTGCATAAAACTTTTGACATCTGCTTCCATTCTTTCCTTTCCCTTGCAACTCTAGACCAGGTCACTCCTCCAATAATTCCTTCATTTCATCATCCCAATTATACTTCGGCCGCCCTCTATTCCTTTTCCACAAAATTGGTACCCATTCAATTATCTTTTTGGTCCATCTTTTAAAACTCCTGTTCATTTCCATTTCTTTTTAACTGTCCATTTAAATAAGCCAGTTTGATTTCTGATCTATGTATTCCTCTTGAGGTCTCACAACCTTAGGTAGGTACAAGCAGGACCATCTTGTCCCATAGTTTTGCTTTTAGTTTTGTACTAGTTTGGTATCAGAAAATTTTTATTGTTTAACATTTTCTTGCACTGTAAGTGCATCTTTGGATTATTGCATTCAGCTGCTTATTTTATGCCTGAGGTTAGTTCCTCAACTAGTGCAATATTAGCACCATTCTGGCTAAGAAGTCCCAGTTGGCAGTTTATTGGTATAAGATGGCACTTTGTGAGGTTTATAGTGAATCCTGCCATGGCTCATTCTTGATTAGGTCTTCGGCCATTTGTTTTAGCTCATGGTTACTTTTTGCAATTAACACTACATCGTTGATGAAGTTGTGATGATTTAACCATAGACCATTTTTTTCTAATTCCTTTCCCAGTCCAATTTAGTTTGTTGAAACCATTCTGAAAAACCAATCTAATGATCTTGGGTGAACTGATGCCTCCTCATCTCACCTCGATTGTTGACATAATTAAAATAAAAATTTATGGTTTCCTTTAATTTCAAAAGTAGTTTGTAAGAATTATGAAGGATTAAATACCAACTGTTGTCCTGTTGGTCTATGTAGACTCCCATGTACCACTTTAAGTCCCATATATTATTCAAAACAAAATGTTGAATATTTCTGTGGCCCCCTTTATAGAAAAATAATTATGTGTGAAGTTTAGCTGATTAAAAGGTTGTTTATTTTTTATTAGTGATTCGGTGCTCCCCTCTTAGAGTATGTAAGAATAATCAAGCATTGAGAAATATCACAATAACTAAAACTGTACAAACTTTCATTAATACGGTAAATCTGTCAAGTTGATTCAATCTAAAATAATTTGTATACAGATGATTTGTTTTAAAAAGCCAATGTTTTCTATCAAAACTCAGCAATGAAACAATTTTGTACTAAAAACTGGCTGATTGTTAAATATTTAATGTTCATAAGTTGTGAGATTTTTTGATGAGATTGCCAGGGTAATGAAGAAGTAGTTTTTTATCATTTCTGAACATCCTGGTCTACCTACTTGTGCTGATTTGGTCTGTCATAGTCTGTCACAGCATTTGGTGTCTCTAGATTAAAGAAAAATCAAAACGAGAAAAAGTATGAACGTTCAACTAAATATCATTAAACCCCACATATAACATGAAAAACTGAATTGACAAACACCATAACTGATTGTAAAAAAATAGAAAGGACATGAAATTACTACATCAACAAAATCCAAGATGATGACTAAACTTACGAATTGTACATTTATAAATGGCACAAATGAAAAAATAATTGACCACCAATGATAAAGAAATACCTAAATGTATTATACAGACCAAATCACATTGTGATAGACATCCCAGGATCATCGGAAAAAAACAAACAAAAACTAATGATTTTGTATATTTATTTATTTTATTTATTTTTTTTTTTTTGCATCTTAATTTAAAAAAATGCAGTCACATTGAGCCCAGCCCTTCTTAAGTTTCTGAAATCCATAAAAACTGTCCATTACGTCTATTTGTTTTGTATCCATTAAAAAAAAAATATATATATATATATTCGTGTGTATGATCTTATATATAATTTTTTTATGTTACTATAAACTGTTAATCACAGGTAACATAAAACATCAAAATATTTTCAATAAACATTCATTTTAAAAAGTCAGATTTTTTTGCACAAAAAACTTGTAAAGAAGTTATTCTTTAGTATTGCAAAAAGAAGTGAATTGTATGTTCCAGTTGTATTGAGTAAACAACATGACATCAAAGAAACACAATAATTCATTTGTGATGTAGGTTGGAACCCAAACTTTATAATAACATAACAATAATAACAAAAATTCAATTGTTTATTAGTTCAATAATTATTCCCATAAATTTACCCTTGAACCACAAAATATACATTTCTAAACTGATTTACTCTGTGCATTATGGTAATTATTTTTTATACAGATTATATACACATTTATAACCAGAATCTAATTTAACATATACAAATATGCCATTATAAATAAAAACCACTTTATGTTAAGTATATCTAAAAGTGGCTAAGGAGACAAAAAAAAAAGGTTTAAGAAACCCATCAATACCATTTTATGATGAAATACTGTGGGTATTTCATGTGATGTAGGCAGAGGATAAGAAGATAAAATTAGACTGGCAGGAAGATTCAGTAGAGAGGAAACCACTTAGAAAAATGCCAAGATCATGAAGCATACATTCTGTTAATTTCATGTTGATATCTCTTCTGAATGTCTTTGCGACGTAGTTTAAAAGCGGCTGTAACCAGACCCAAATCGGGTGACCAAACTTCGGTACATAGTTTGACAGCTGCAGGAATTTCATAACGTTCGAGTTTACCTGGAGAAAAATCAGTTAAATCAATTGAAACGTACAAATGGTTTAACCGTCACAACACCATTAAATGGTGAAACGTACATTTTTTACCATGAACTACTAATTCTTCTAAGACAGCTTTTTCTATCCTTGGATTAGCACAGAGTTCTTCAAAAGATTCTTTTATGCCAAGCTTTATAGCAACAGCCTTGAGATGCTGCTGTGAAGGAACTACCAGTGCTACTGTGTAATCCTTTAACGAATCCCCATAAACACATATGTTTTCAACGATTGGACAAGTCTTCAATACAGATTCTACCTTTCCTAGTGAGACATATTCACCAGCTTGCAGTTTTACTAAATCTTTTTTACGATCTGCAGAAACAAACATCATGAAGGTTTTTTTTGTAATATGTAATGTAATACTACTAACATTAACAAACTCATGTGATAAAACACATAAGTATAACATGTAATGATAAAATATATTTACCAATAATTTTGATTACTCCATCTTCATGGACTTCACCGATATCTCCTGTTCTGAACCACATGATACCATTCTCTTCGAAAAAGTCCTCTCGTGTCTTTTCAGGATTTTTGTAGTACCCAGGAGAAACATTTTTTCCACCAATTATGATTTCACCTCTTGGGAATGGTCGGTCGTAGACAGTGTAATTCCCCTCATCCCAATTGACAATGCGGATAGAGCATAAAGACATAGGATGTCCAGCCCTTCCTGTTGTCCTGTCCATGTCTAATACATAGTTTACGACAAATGAGTTAGTTGTAATACGTTTAAATGTATTTTATTTAAACATTACCGTCCATCACAGTGGCACAGGAACACGTTTCTGTTAAGCCGTAACCTTGAATGACTTTTTCACACAAACAAATTTTAATGAGTTCATGAGTGTCTGGAGAGAGAGGAGCTCCACCGCTAATAATAAGTCTGACCCTTCCACCTAGGAGTTGCCTTGTCTGACCAAACACCAATCTGTAGAAGAAACATCAATGCAACATCGACTTAAACAAGCAGTATTTTTTTTTTTTTCCTAAGAGGGTTCGCAACAGCAGAGGTCGTATAAACTCTCAGGGTGCCAGTGTTTGTGGAAAAAAAATTGACAAAAAGCCCATTTGTAAGTATGTTGGGTTCGAATGCAGGGCCTTACCTTACAGTGATGATCAGTGAAATTATTACTCACTTGTCTATTAGAGGACACGAGAAACCCCATTCAGTCCATTTCTTTTTGTACTCAAAAGCAAATCTAAACAGCGCACGCTTAAAAGCAGTGTTCTTTTCAACTTTTTCATTAACCCCTTTGTATATCCTGTCCAAAATAAGAGGTACAGCAGTGAGGCATGTTGGTTTAAGAACAGGTGCATCTCCTTTTGACCCATGCTTGATTTTATTTGAAAAATCCATAAGTGTAAGTGGAGATGAGTACCCAATTGCAACACCATTAAGAAGGCATACAGATTCTTAAAAAAATAATAAAAATAAATAAAAAATAAAACAAAATGATAATTTTATTGAGAACATACCCGTTAAGAGTTCAAAAACATGTGCTAGGGGTAAGAAACCAAGGAAAACATCATTTGTACTAATTATTACAGCATCAGAAAATGCACTGAGAGTTGCCATCATATTGGAATGAGTTAGTAAAACACCTTTTGGTACACCGGTGGATCCGCTAGTATACATAATAATTGCAATATCATCTTTTGTAGGTACCGCAGCAACTGAAATAAGTCATATTGTTAACATAAAAATTACATAAGTACATGCAAATAAAAATTATCCATTACCTGAGTCAAAATTTTGACCTTTAGCTATTACTTCTTTGTAGCTAAGTATTTCTACATCTGGGCTGAAGTTGGTTCTATCAGTTACCTTAAGCTGATCTTCCATAAATATAATTTTCTTTACACAAGGAGTATTTTTCAGTATTGTTTTAAATTTTGGTAGTAATTCGTGTGTCGTAATGACTAGTCTCCCTTTAGTTTCATTTATACCATGAGCAATAGCCTCTTCCCCCAGTGTTGCATAAATAGTGACCACTGGAAATGATCAAAAAATGGTCGAAATTGTTGATTTAGCTCAATTCATGCAATTTATACCTGTGAAATTTTGTTTGAAACAACCATGAGCTGCAACCGTCCATTCAGCTCTGGTTTCGGCAAAGATGACGATATTCTCTTTTGCCTTGAAGCCTAAGGATCTAAGACCACGACCAAAAAACGAAGCCTCTTGATTTACATCATTGTAACTCCTCCATTTATATTCACCCATCAGGTACTAAAAATCATTGTTCAAAATGAAATAAATAAAAATATCATAATTGCAAAAATAAAATAAATTCAATTTACTTTTTTGAAAATTCGGCCATTTGGCTGGATTTCGTCTTCTTCGGCCAAAATATCCCGAGTTCCCAGGCAATTTTTGTTTCCGTATAAGTTTGTGATATAATTTAACATTTTTTCTAAGGTGTCAATTTTGAAGGTAAGAAGCTTACAATGTATATCTCTTGGCATAGTAAGTGATTTCACTAAAACTGTCTTTCCATCTTCAACTTGTCTCTCTGCCTGCAATGCAATAAAAATGTAATGTACATATTATGAAATGGAGATTATATATAATTTTAGATGTTACATATTTAAAAAAAAAAAATATTAGCATCTGTACAAAGATATACATATAGGGGAGCCAGCAACCATTTTTGATCTCCCAGCTATATGTAGTTATTTATGAACAATTCATAAAGAGGTCCCAGGCCCATCTCCTCTTCAAGTGCCTTACTTGGTTGTAGGGATGGATAATGGTGGACGTGGATTGGGCTAACGTGTGGATAGTTTTTCATGGAATGTGGAAAATTTGGTGGGGATTAATTTATTTCCAAAGGGTATTTTGAGATCATTGTGGATAATGGTATTCGAAACATAGTAGGGAGCATTGACTATGATTCAGAGGACTTTGGATGGGAAGGACTGAATTCGTTGGATGTCGGTAGGTTAGTGGTGCCCCACAGTTCTACTCTCTATGTTCAAATTGTTTCAATAATGTTTTGTACAGCGTCAGTTTGTTTTTTGTCAACATATTAGATTTTCATCCAAGTAGTTTATAGAAAGTCCAGAGCGTCTATTCAGTTCCTGTCTTTTTATTTGTATGTGTCAGTTCCAGGTTAAGCGTGTGTCAAGTTAGAAACCAAGATCACACAATCAGTTTTAGGGATAGGAATGCTGTTGAGGAATATTATATGAGGGGTTTTGCTTTTGAGGGTAAGAGTAACATGGGTGCATTTGTTTTCATTGATTTTTATCCTCCAAAGTTTCCTCCATTCGGCTAATCGTTGGACGTGTCCCTGGAGCCCTTCTGAGGCGATTGCAGAATCGGGATCAGAGGAATGCATGGCTGTGTTGTCTGCAAAGGGTGTAAGGATGGTAAAAGTGTAGTTGGGATGTCTGAGGTGTAGGGAAGATACAGGAGTGATCCAAGCACACTGCCCCTACTGGACAGTAGTCAGAGTAGTCTGAAAATGGGAAAACACGGAAGAATAGTCCTGTGAGGTAGGTGTTTGAAAGGGTGTGCTTTAGTTTGTGTAGAAGACCCTTAAGTCATACGCAGTCAAATGCTTGTGAAACGTCTAGGAAGGTCCCGATACAATATTCTTTACACTCTAAGGATGAGGATATCTGGTCTGAAGCACCTGTTGAGTTGTACAATGTCGAGGGCAAAAACCAAATTGGTGGTTTGAGAGAAAGTTGAAAGAATTAAGTGTAGGAATCACATATTTTAAGAGGATCTTCTCAAATATGTTTTGAGAAGAGGAAGTTGGCTAATTGGACAGTAGGAAGATGTAGGGGCAGGAAAAGGATGCTTGAGTATTTCCAGAGCTAAGGGAAGTGTGCAGTGTGGAAGATTATGCAGTTTTTAGAGATTTCATGGAGGGTTCGAGGTGTGATGAGGTCAAAGCCAGGGGACTAGCAATTTGGCAACTGGGAAAGGATACATTTTTCTTCAAAAGGAGTGATTGCTTTGGGAAGGGTTAACAGAGTTATATAATTAAAAATTGAGTTCAACATCCTTGCAAAACACATTCTAAAAAAGAAAAGCTAAAACTGATATTAACTTGTTTTTAATTGTAATTATTCTAAAAGTTGCTTCTTATTTAAAGATCAGGTGTTATATTGGAAGAACATACATGCTCTACTCAAACAAATTGACAGACAGTTGCTCACTGAAGATGGTACAATGCCAAAATGCATTTGCGTAATTTAATAAACTCAGGAGTGAAGTAACCCAATATGAACCCAATAACAACACCAGCTGAGCATTATTTTATTTTAAAGTAAAATAAAAATGAGGTGGTCAAATCAAAGTATACATAATTTTCTGTTTGAAGATTAGGTAATGACAGGATCAAAACATTTTTTTTCTTACTTTAGTTGTTGTGCTTAAGTAAATTTGATAACATCTTAGATCATAAAACAAAAAATGAACAAAAAATATGTTAAAAAAAAGAAAATAGTAATAAAAAAATCAAAATTTAGTAAACATTGGATGCCATGTGTTTTACAAGCATTCTACATTAGTTAGGAGTTTTGAATAGATATTTGATTATAACTGTACCTTCACCCTTCGTGACAATCGTATTTTCTCCCATGGACGTTGTAGAATAAGATACACTGGATAAGTGATGATATCACAGACAAATGCGATCGCTTTTATTGCTCCCAGTACACCTTCCAACCACATGCTTTCCATTTTTCTGAAAAATAATTGTAAAATTAATCCATATACATTTAGCAGTCATTATTGGCTATTAATTATTTCAACTAATTATACTTTTCATCTCAACCAAGATCTTAGATAAAAAAACGTACAGTTAATTTAAATAATTGTCACAATTAAAAAAGATATATTTTTCATACATTAAGTTACAGACCAAAATCATAAGCGTTTTTTTCTGTAAGAGTAAGAAAATTACATTGCCCATCAATTTATTTTCACATAGAAATGTTTAATTTACCTTTTTTAAACAGTACAAGTTCAAGGCGTTTCAAAGAGATCAATTGTACACCAAAAATTCAAAAATTGCTTAATCAAAGGTTGCTCAGGCTAAATTAAATTTGAACAGATATCGACAAGTTCAGGTCTTGATGTGCACCTAAATTGATTAGGATTGAAGCGAAGAAAGATCTAAGGCAGTCTCATGTAAAAATGACCAATCTCCCACCTTTGTGTATATCTTATCTCATCCCTCTTCTACTTGACTACATGTTCACAAATTCTACTTATCTTAAACATTACATTTCTGACCCATTATTTCCAATTAATTGAATAGATAAATCTTTTTAAAAACAAACATTTTTTTAAAATACGCAAGTTTAATTTTGGGAGGCGCGGGCAAGGATAAACCGTGCAAATTTTTCACTGATCAATTTTTTGGACAATTAAAATGTTCAAATTTTAAGAATCTCATGAATCATTTTGCAAGAAGGAAAGACACCATAAAATTTATATTTATATATGAATGAAATCACCTTATTGCACAAGCCATGACTGTTGAGTTAAAAAAAGATTAATTACAAATTATATTATTTATATTATATACATTTATATTGGACTATTATTTATATTTTTTTATCACTCCCTGAGGTGGTGACCCTAGGGTCTACATCTCACGTGAGTTTATCTACCTATTAAGTGGCTGGGTTACTAGGCTTCCCTTGAGTCAAATGTTTGAGGGGGTCTTTGCTACTCGGCTAACCGAGTTATGCTCCAGGGGCTTTTGACAGATAGGTCATTTCAGCCCCAAATGCATGCAAAATATAATCTAGCCTAAACTAATACACATTGCTCTCATTCTGATTGACGGTGGATACTTGATATTTCTCCACTGAATATAAGCTAACCTAAGTTGGGGTCGATGGAGTACCTTCATAAATATTCATTCTTCAACCCTGCGCATACACTCTGGAGGGGCGATGGTGACACTACATTTCACCATCCACCCCCACCATTCTCACCAATAATTATTGCACACACACTCAAACAAAACCCAGAACTACAAAATGCACAAAACAGGAATGAAGTATATACAATAAGTAACCTGCTTCCTTTAAAATCCAGAACAGAAGACCCAGAAACCTGCTACTATGTCAGAGAACCATCCTCATATCCAGTGGCATGCCTTCACACTCTCTATTTGGAGACAAAGCATGACGAACTTTTATTATTTTGTAACCTTTCTCTGCAAAAAGGCTGTTTTTCTATACGAGCTTAGCATCAGAGGATGTGATAGCGATGGTCCAGTCAGGTTCGTTACCATCCAGGCCAACGGTGTTTGTACTTAGACAACCATTTTTCCGAGACGCTCAAGCTTGGAATATCTTTCTAACATGAGCATGAAAACGTCTATCTTGTAAAACCCAAATAGCACTCAGAGTCGGTTCATAAAAGGAAGGCTAGCCTACCTGGGACCTTATTGTCCCTTGAGTGTGCTAAATTGCATACAGTTCTAATGTGTATATGCTTCAATGAGGGGATAACGACCACAAAGGCCACTCCCTTGCTATACTTGGTGCAACATTATCGCTAGAATTGAACTGTCTGTAAAAATTAGAAGAAAACCAGCCCATTTACTTATAAGTTCAGAGACGGATGGACTTATGCCAGATTGCCACGGACAAATACAGCTAGAAGGGTACAGGGGGTGTAAGTTGGTTAGTCCAGCCCTTCCTAAGGCCTCACCAAAGCGAATCCTGAGCGGTCGTGTTCATGAATGAAGCATGTCATAGTCGACTCTGCACACAAAGATCATACTAGTGAAAGGATTCCCTGGCTAGGCCAAGACCCCTGCCGCATGGCACATACCAAGGTTTTGGGAGGTAGGACCACCAGATTGCAGCACAAACTGGCCAAGGTGCTGAGAATACATTCTAAAGTGCACTGCTTTATAAATTTCAGCTGTTTTTTGGTGCAGCTTTGCTCATTATTTATTTATAATTTTTTTGTGGTTCTTACCTTAGTACCAGTATCATTTTCAGGCTGATGGTTTATAGTCTCTCCCGACGAATTCCAATGTTTTTTTTTAGTGGCACCACAAGTATACGTGCATTTATTCGCAGTCCTGATGTTGCTTCCATTGAGTGAGGCTAGTTTTTGCAATTAACATTATGTATATATGTATATTTTATTCCCAAATTTGGTAATTAATCAATTACAGCAGACCTCAGCATAGATGAGAATTTGATCTATTAAAGTTAAATTAAATCATCCTTACAACAATGTTTTTCACCATTTACTTTATATTTATATTATTATTTGGCAATTAATACTAGAAATACAATATATTTATGCTTGTCATTCAAGAAAAAAAAATTACATAAAAAGAGATCTTTTTAATTTGAATTTTCGTCCCATTTGAAAAAGTAGATTTTGTGAAGTTTTCTTGATTGTGATATTATGTAAATTACTGTATAGGATAATTGCCTTAAGAGCAAAGTGTATCCCTAATTTGTTCATGAATTTAGTTTCTGACAAACCTCTCAGCCTTGGTCGCAAGTCCAAATGATTTATTGCAGAGTGCAGTCTCCTGAAACAAACTGAAAATTTGTTGAAACAGCAAATGAATTATATTTTTTATAATCGATTATTTTGTTTACTTAATTATATTCTGCTAATTGCATATTTTTAAAATGTGGAGCTTCTTGCATTAATTTCGGATGTCAGAAGAGAAAAAAATTCTGAATGCACTACCATATTCGTGCTGCCTTTTTGATCTGATCAATTGTTGATGGTGTAGCTGTGGAGATCAAAAGGTCAGAGAAGGGACCTTTTGTGAATTTAAGATCCCAGTAGCAACACCACTAATTAACTGAGTTAATCAGATTTGACTGAAGATCTGGTCTTCTGAGGAACCAACTTTGTATGGAGTAAATGTATAATTATGCTCTATATAGACCCATTTACTTTGAAACAAGGTAATCAAATTCAAAATTCTCAAGGATAGAATGAATTAGCTTGTCTAATTTCAATGTCGTTCTAGCTTTATACTAAAATTGAAAGGCCAATAAAAGTAATTTTTACATTAGCTGTGTAAACCAAACCCCAGCTAGAAACTGCAGATGCTGCTGTTGTAGTGACCCTATTCCACCAGACATATATATATTTTTTTATTTGAACAGATGTTTCCGATAATCAATTACTACCTCCCACTAAAAGCTGCTTACTTATCGAAATGATATTAGCAGTATCTCAAACTTCAATAAAAAAAACTTTTATGAAAATAATATCCAATGAAAACATTTAAAAAAAGACAACTTAAGGTAATAAAACTACATGCACCATTAAATTCCATTTATTGCACAAAAGTGAAGAAGTACAAAATAGTGACGTAATTCTATGACAAAACTAAAAATGCTGAAAATAGTTTAGCACACATTTGGTTTTCCTTTGAAAACAATGCCAAAAAAGGAATAACAACATTAATTAAAAATCAATAAAACAATGTTTAATAATACATTGTGAAAATAATTTAATATGAGAAAAATATATAGCAATGTTTTAAGTAGGTATAATTTTTTAGTATATATATTTTTCTTTTACTAAGTAGGCTTTTACTTAAATTGACAGTTTTTGACAAGTAGTATTTTGTACATTGGTGGATTATATTTAATTAAATATGCTTAAATTATTTTAAGATAAAATTAAAATTTTTAAAAATGCTCTCAATGAGAACGATTATGGAAAAGGATTTGTTTTTAATTCTTAAATTCACAACCATTTAAAATAAAGTTATTTCACGTGTATGATCTCAAATATTATTTTATGTTGTTACTAATAAACTGTAAATCACAGCCGACAGAAAACAGAACAAAATATTTCCAATGAATATTCATTTTAAAAAAGTCAGATTTTTTCTCACAGAAAACGTACAAGCAAATTATTCTTTAACGTTACAAAAAGAAGTGAACTGTAAGTTCCAAGAGATTTAAGTATTTAGTAAACGACATATCATCACCAAAGAAACACGATAGGGGATGAAAATTGTTTGTGCAGGTTGAAACCCAAACTTTATAACAACATAACAATAATAATAACAACAAATTCAATAGCTTTATAGTTCAATAATTATTCCCATAAATTTGTTCTTTGACCACAAAATATACATTCCTAAACTGATTTACACTGTACATTTATGGTAATTGTTATTTATACATATTATATACACATTTATAACCAGAATTTAACTTAACATACATAAATATACCATTATATATAAAAACCACTTTATGTTAAGTCTATCTACAAGTGGCAAAGGAGAGACGAAAAAGGTTTAAGAAACCCATCAATACCATTTTAAAATTAAATATTGTGGGTACTTCATGTGATGTAGGCAGGGGATAAGAAGATAAAATTAGAGATGAGTAACTGGCAGGAAGATTCAGTAGAGAGGAAACCACTTAGAAAAAATGCCAAGATCATGAAGCATACATTCTGTTAATTTCATGTTGATATCTCTTCTGAATGTCTTTGCGACGTAGTTTAAAAGCAGCTGTGACCAGACCCATATCAGGTGACCAAACTTCGGTACACAGTTTGACAGCTCCAGGAATTTCAAAGCGTTCGAGTTTACCTGGAGAAAAACCAGTTAAATCAATTGAAACATACAAATGGCTTAACCATCACAACACAACATTAAACGGTGAAACGTACATTTTTTACCATGAATTGCTAATTCATCTAAGACAGCTTTTTCCATCTTTGGATTAGCACAGAGTTGTTCAAAAGATTCTTCTAAGCCAAGCTTTTTAGCAGCAGCCTTGAGATGCTGCTGTGAAGGAACTACCAGTGCTACTGTGTAATCCTTTAATGAATCCCCATAAACACATATGTTTTCAACGATTGGACAAGTCTTCAATTCAGATTCTACTTTTCCTAGTGAGACATATTCACCAGCTTGCAGTTTTACTAAATCTTTTTTACGATCTGCAGAAACAAACATCATGAAGGTGTTTTTTTTGTAATATGTAATGTGATACTACTAACAATAACAAACTCATGTGATAAAACACAAATATAATATGTTGTAATAATAAAATATATTTACCAATAATTTTGATTACTCCATCTTCATGGACTTCACCGATATCTCCTGTTCTGAACCACATGATGCCATTCTCTTCGAAAAAGTCCTCTCTTGTCTTTTCAGGATTTTTGTAGTACCCAGGAGAAACATTTTTTCCGCCAATTACGATTTCACCCCTTGGGAATGGTCGGTCCTTGACAGTGTAATTCCCCTCATCCCAATTGACAATACGGATAGAACATACAGTCCCAGGATGTCCAGCCCTTCCTGTTGTCCTGTCCATGTCTAATAATTTACGACAAATGAGTTTGTTTTAATACTTTTAATGTATTTTATTTAAATATTACCGTCCATCACAGTGGCACAGGAACACGTTTCTGTTAAGCCATAACCTTGAATGACTTTTTCACACAAACAAGTTTTAATGAGTTCGTGAGTGTCTGGAGAGAGAGGAGCTCCACCGCTAAGAATAAGCCTAACCCTTCCACCTAGGAGTTGCCTTGTCTGAGCGAACACCAACCTGAAGAAGAAACAGCAATGCAACATCGACTTAAACAAGCAGTGAAATTATTACTCACTTGTCTATTAGAGGACACGAGAAGCCCCTTTTGGTCCATTTCTTTTTGTACTCAAAAGCAAATCTAAACAGCGCACGCTTAAAAGAAGTGTTCTTTTCAACTTTTTCATTAACTCCTTTGTATATCCTGTCCAAAATAAGAGGTACAGCAGTGAGGCATGTTGGTTTAAGAACAGGTGCATCTCCTTTTGATCCATGCTTGATTTTACTTGAAGAATCGATAAGCGTAAGTGGAGATGAGTACCCAATTGCAACACCATTCAGAAGGCATACAGATTCTTAAAAAATTAAAAATAAAATATTAAACCAATTGACTATTTTATTGAATGATCTTATAGGGAACATACCTGATAAGAGTTCAAAAACATGTGCTAGGGGTAAGAAACCAAGGAAAACATCCTTTGAACTAATTATTACAGCATCAGAAAAAGCACCGAGAGTTGCCATCATATTGGAATGAGTTAGTAAAACACCTTTTGGTACACCGGTGGATCCACTGGTATACATAATAATTGCAATATCTTCTTTTGTAGGTACCTCAGCAACTGAAATAAGTCATATTGTTAACATAAAAATTATATAAGTACATGCAAATAAAAATTATCCATTACCTGAGTCAAAATTTTGACCTTTAGCTATTACTTCTTTGTAGCTAATTATTTCTACATCTGGGCTGAAGTTGGTTCTATCAGTTACCTTAAGCTGATCTTCCATAAATATAATTTTCTTTACACAAGGAGTATTTTTCAGTATTGTTTTAAATTTTGGTAGTAATTCGTGTGTCGTAATAACTACTCTCCCTTCAGTTTCATTTATACCATGAGCAATAGCCTCTTCCCCCAGTGTTGCGTAAATAGTGACCACTGGAAATGATCAAAGAATGGTTGAAATTGTTGATTTAGCTCAATTCATGCGATTTATACCTGTGAAATTTTGTTTGAAACAACCATGAGCTGCAACCATCCATTCAGCTCTGGTTTCGGCAAATATGACGATATTTTCTTTTGCCTTGAAGCCTAAGGATCTAAGACCACGACCAAATAAAACAGCCTCTTGATTTACATCATTGTAACTCCTCCATTTATATTCACCCATCAGGTACTAAAAATCATTATTCAAAATGAAATAAATTAAACAAATCATAACTGCAAAAATAAAATAAACTCAATTTACTTTTTTGAAAATTCGACCATTCGGCTGGAGTTCGTCTTCTTCAGCCAAAATTTCCCGAGTTCCCAGGCAATTTTTGTTTCCGTACATGTCTGTGACATAATTTAACATTTTTTCTAAGGTATCAATTTTGGAGGTAAGGAATTTACAATGTACATCCCTCGGCATTGTAAGAGATTTCAATACAATAGTCTTTCCATCTTCAACTTTTACCTCTGCCTGCAATTAAAAATAACAATTGAAGTTACAAAATTATTGCAAAAACCTAAAGTGAAAATATATATTTTTCCAATGATAAAACTTGTTCTCATAACTAAAACTATTTCCTGCAAATTTTCATCAAAATTTAATTTTTATTATTCGAATTCCGCTCGTGACACTAACTTTTTCATTTCAACCAAAACCTTACATAAAAAGATTAATTAATTGAAAGAAGTAATTAATAGAAGTAAATATAATGGATTTAATTTTATTGCATAAAATTGTGTAAACACACTTTCCTTCGACAAATTACAAGAAAGGGATAGCAAATATGTAGTTCGTGTTGAAAACAAAAAAATCCTGTGTATGTACAGTGAAACATTTTTGACACTCAAATTGAACAGTTCTTGTTTAAAAATGACGCAATAGATAACTTTGAAAGTAACTCCCGACAATTAAATATTAACTTCGTTGCGAGAGAAAAACGTCCATAATTCTGTGAATTTTTTGTGGAGAAACTACATGAATACATACGTCGATTTATTGTTTAAAAAATACGATGAAATGAACGGGAGTAGACGAGTCACCATAACGTGACCGGGTTCGACGTAAACGACCTAAAAAATTCTTCCATTGTTAAATAACGAACGGGTAAAACATTTAAAATTAATGGGAAATGTGGCGAAATCCTAGGAAAGTCTTTACCGAAACGCCGACGCAATTTCAAGAATTCCTTGCGGTTTGTAATCGATACATTGAACGGAAAGTTAAATTATTATATTATTTTATTTTTAAATAAAAAACAAATGCGTTTCAAGTCAACTCAAAGCATACATCATTTTCTTTTTGAAGATTAGATAATGACAGGGACCAAAAAAAATTAAGATTAACGAGTAAACTTTTACCCCTCCCCACCCTAAGTAATATTTATCTCGAACAAAAGGGTTAAACTCTTCCTATCAATAGGATGGACATTTGATCAGTTATACGGCAGGATATGCTAGATGACCTTTGCCCACTTAAGAGACTAGGGGAACAACATTAGTTCAAGAGTTAAACCTTTAACAACTATTTTCGTTCCTTATCTTTCAAGCTACCCTTTGTGACAAAAAAAAACTATAATATTTAATCCATTTATGTTTTAGTGGTCTAATTGACCAATATTTAATTAATTTAATTATATAGAAAAATTCCACAGGAAGTTCATTTAGACTTTTTGACCAAAAAACTTGCAAATAGCGGAGGGTTTTGTAGTTTATAGTGGAAAGTTTTATTGGTTATCGGAAAAGCTAAACATAACCAGAACCATTTAAAAAATTATAACTAATTTTATTATTCAATAGCTTTAATAATCATATGGTACAAATGACAAGAAATTTCACTTATCATGTCACTAAAGGTAAAAATTGAAGACTTGCATATATAAAGGGAAACTGCATTATGCCCAATTACGCCCTCTAATTGCGTGCGCGTATTAATTAAGCTGCATTGCATACCTGATTCTCGAGTGAGAAAAAAAAACACATTCAAATAAACCCGAGATATATTTCAACAAATTATTGGGAAAGACGAAAGCCGTTGAAATTGGCCGTAATGAAATTGAGTGTCAGTGGCATCATTTTGATATGTACCCTTTTTCAATTTATCTCCCATTATACTATCCAACATGTGTCGACGCGCTGCAATTCGCCAATTCTATTGTACTAGAGATGCGATTTAGCAAATATCAAAGGACGATGTGTAACTAAAAATGACTCAAGAAAGTGTAAAATTGATTTCAATTTATTTAAAAAATAGCATGAAACATTAAAGTTAATGGCATTATATTATATGTATAATATCAATAAATTGATTTTTTGGATATTATTATTTATTGTTTTTGTTTTTTATTGGTATGTTATAAAAAAACGTTTCATTATAAAAGAGACAATGCACTTTTTCCTCCTCACTCGAGACACGTCTGTAAATAGAAATTTCCTGGTGGCACTGATTGTTCCAACCACAGGGGCCACAGAGCCACTTCTTTAAATGGAACCGTGTAATGTAAATATCATAAATTGATTTAAAGAATGAAATGTTAAAATGTTCAACCGTATAAAACGTTCAAAATTCTCCTTGTTTCTCTACACAATAGTTTTAATTTATTCAATTAATTTCTACAGTAAGGGTTTAAATTACTTATGTCTTGATTTCTCTATCGACAAAAGGATAAATATAATGGTGAAGTCAGATTATCACAAGCGTTGAGATTACAATTACCAACTGCACTCACGTTTCTTTCTTAGAGAATAACATCAGTTAATATCAAAAGAAGAGTACTTTTCCTGTCAATTTCTTAGAGAGAGGGTGAATGGATGCAAAACTGGAACAGTACTTTTCTTTAGAGAGAGGGTGAATGGATGCAAAAATGGAACAGTACTTTGAACTCAATTTAGAAAGCAGGGGATTAGAGAAATCATACCGACGATGCAGATAATTGAAGAACATAGTAGACTTGCACTGTAGAGGCATTAGAATCGAATATTAACTAGTCATTTTAATTTCTTATAAATACTTTACCGGATGTGTTTTAAAAGAACACATAAGTCAAAATTTAGTAAACATTTGATGACACGTGTTCTACAAGCATTCTACAATAGTAAGGTATTATAAGTAGATATTTGATTATAACTGTACCTTCATCCTTCGTGACAAACGTTTTTTCTCCCATGGCCGTTGTAGAATAAGGTACACTGGATAAGTGATGATATCACAGACAAATGCGATCGCTTTTATTGCTCCCAATGCACCTTCCACCCACACGCTCTCCATTTTCCTGAAAAATAATTGTCAAAATTAAAAAAATATATGTTTTTCATACATTTAGTTAATTAAAATCAAATAAAAGCAGACGCGAAGGCAGGATTCTGTACACAAGAAAATAAGCGTTTGTTACTGTTGGAGCAAGAAAATTACATTGCTCATCAATTAATTTTCACAATGCATTGTGGAATTTACCTTTTTTTTAAACGGGTACAGAGTTCAAGGCGTATCAAAGCGATCAATTGTACAAAAAAAATTATCAAAATCGCTAAATCAAAGGTTGCTCAGGCTAAATGAAATTTGAAAAGATATCGACAAAGATCGGGTCTTGACATGCACCTACTTGATTAGGATCGAAGAGAAGAAAGATTAAAGGCAGTCTCGTGGAAGAATCTCAAATCTCCCACCCTTGAGGATGGATATCTTATCTCGTCCCTCTCCTAGACTACAACTTCACACAAAAAACGTATGCTTACCTTAAATATTAATTTCCCACCCATTATTAACAATTAATTGAATAATTAAATATTTTCAAGGGCAAACAATGTTGTTTTTAATTACAATTTGAGCGGCAAGCGATCAACCGTGCAATGTTTTTACCCATCAATTTTAGGGGCAATTAACATATTAAAATTTTAAGAATCGTGAATTCATCTTGCAAGAGGGAAAGACACAATTTATAATTTAATGAAATAATAAAGTCACTTTCTCGCACAACCCATGATTTGAAGTTTAAAAAAGTTGATTAACAAAAACATGTATAATTACTAATCAGATCCCGACCTTAATTCTTGTACAGAGTAAATTCTGCAGTCTTTTGTTATGATGGGAAAAACTCTTTTTTAATTAAAAGGAATCTTAATTAAACGAAAAAAAATGTTTATTACGCAAAACGCAATGAACCTCCTCGGAAAAATCCAAAAATCACAGGAATAAATAGCTTTTAATCATGTTTTGAGAGAGGAGCAAGGCAAGGTGAAATCAAGGTTGTGGGAACTGAACTAAACCATGTCGTAGCAAACACGCGATATTTCCGGAACACATCTTTCAACTGTTCGAGGGTTTTGGAATACAAATTGAGACCCTTCTTTTAGCTAGTTTTAGGTAAATTTGGTTACATCATCCCATACCGATCTATATCGTTTTTCGTTCGTTTTCAAATTACGTTTGTTTGAAGACATACATAATAAATAGTGTCAACTATTATAAAAAAGAAAAAACTTAATTTGGCTAGAATCCTGCTGTGCTACTAAAAAGGAAGAGGGCGTATAGCAATGACCCACGCTCTTAAGATGTGTACGTTTCAGACCTCCTACAATTCATTACTTACGGTCTAATACATAACAATCTAAAAGTTTTAATCTATTTATTCCTCATTCTTAAACAATTAACGAGAAATTGGCCTAGTTTATTACAAAAATGCGATTGTGGAATTTGAAGACAAAACGACGACTTTATGTTAACTAGTTACGGTTAAAATTCAGCCAAGATCATTCCAAGCCCCAGCCCCTATTGTTCATTTTTCAGTTTACTATAAACTCGTTCGTTCATTCATACATCATAAACAACAGCACAAAACAAAAAGTACAATGAAACTGAAATTCCACTGTGTTGCTGGAACGAAGGGATTATTTTTGCAATGATGCATGCTTCTAACGTTTCAGACCGACCGTTATTATCTCGGTATGCGATTTCTTCAACTAAGTTGGGTTACGTCGTGCAAAAATGCTTTGGTGATTTCGAAGTAGGAGGAATTTTTCTTGCGTGGTATTCAATTAAAATCCTGATTATTAATTTTACCTACTACTAACTATAAATCAAAATTAAATTAAATTATTATTAATACAAGCTTAATAATAAGTTCATTAGATTTCGTGGTCCGATTGACCAAATAACACCTTTCAATTAATTAATCTTTATGTAAAGTATTGGTTGAGATAAAATAATACCTTAACAATAAGGTAAAAACTGTACCGAATGTTTTTGACAGGAACATTAAAAAAACACAAAACAGATAAATTTTTTGCCACATCAATTATTATTCCTTCATTAATATAGCTATTATGTCAATATAAATTTCATTTATGAGTGTACCACATAAATGTTATAAACAAGAACTCTGTTCATAACAGAAATATTTTAAATAAGTTTTTTATCGTAAAAATGTATCAATAGGGCCGTTTTTCATCATAGCAATATTACAACGAAGATTGCGCTTTCACAGAAATAAATCGAAATAACGATTTTCATCACAAAATTATTTTGGAATAAGAATAATTTTCATCTCAGAAATATTACAATTAAACTAATTTTTTAGCACAGAAAACTACGCTGCTAGTACAAACAATACGTCTAAGCAAATAAAAAGGGATGCATTGTATTTTTAAATATAAATGTAGATCACAGAACACCACGTCACAAGTGCCAAGTCAAAACTGATAAAATTAACGATGGGAATTAGTACACAAACGTTATACTGGGCAGGTGTAAAGTCCTTTACTTCGACTTTGTTCATGTTCCGAAAGTTTTTTATTTTAATGATAAGGAAGGAATGTAAATTTCGATAATTAGTCGAAACACAATTACAAAATAAAAACAAATCGGTTGAAACAAAATAAAGCGTGATTAATACATGATTCATTAGATTTAAATATTTTAAAAATGCAATTGAACTAGAAAGCAAGATAAAAAAAATTTTGTTTTTAAAACGCCCTTCTCAGCAGAGTGAGAACCGGAGAAAAGAATGACAATAACAATAAAATTGCAAATGAGAACCAGGGAATATAATGATGCAATAATGTACCTATACCACTAAATTGCAAATGAAAACCGGGGAAAAGAACACAATAAATGTATGCCATAAAATGTATTTTTGATTAGAATAAAATAAGTAAGATAAGGCAGTTTCAAAAAAGAGACAAGGTAAAATGTTTTAATCATCAGAACAAACTGTAGCTAATCATAATCATGATAGATTTTTCCTTTTTATTAGCAATAACTCAAAACGTCGTTGCACGTAAAAAAAACAACATTGCATATGTCTGTTTCCTAATTATCTTATCACGGCCTTGTGTTCGCTAACTAAATTTGAAACGTATTTTACTTCTGGGCTTTTTCCTAAAGTTACAATCTGATTTCACCAAGTTGAAATAGATACGTTTTTACGTGTTTAAATAAGTGGGTCGTATTGATACAATATTTTGCCAAATCGATACACGCAACGTGAATCATATTTTATCTATAACGACTTCTGCAATTCGTCTCTCTTAAGAAGAAAAGGTTTATCGTTCGAGCTGTGTACTCATCTAATACAATCACATCCCTTAACATTGCTTCTTAATAACTTCAAAGGTTCCAAGGAAGATCAGGTCGGCTTTTTTTGACGGACAAAACGGCAGAACCCTTTGGGACTTGGCCACTTTCCTCCAAGTGGTGAATCGAGTTAAGTTGGTGGAGTGAATTGACCTCCAGCAACCGTCGAGTTGGAACGTTCTAAACTCCCTGGTCAGTTGGCCAGCTAAGGCTAACGGTATGCCATCAAAGTTGGACACGGAAATTATCCCTAGATAGTTGTTCTTAATAGCTGTGCATTTTAAAACCTCAATTCTAGACGATTAACCTATTCTAGATCCCCTGCTTTTAAAATATCCGGAGAACTTGGAAAACATAAAAGCTCCAAATGAAAATCAATTAAAAACACATATCTATGTGTTAGCCGAATTTTATTATGCGTTATGTACAGGAACATAATGTTAGCCATTTACACAACGAACTGTTATCCCGGTTCAATTAAATAAGAATAAATAATTTTCAATTGATAAAAAAAAGTCTTAAAACGGGGAAGAATCAATTTAACTCAATGGATAACACGTTATCTTGTTAACAAGTTGTACATTGAATTGTACAGTGATTCAATCTTTGTACAAGTTAAAAGATTGATTCTAAAGCCATGTTAAACTTGACAATAATGACGTGGATGGGTTTTCATTGAACTGTCCTCTCTCATGGACATTGTCATTTCGTTTTATTACAAACGCTTTTTAATGTGAGATTTATTCTGATATGCGATGTGTGGAATTTGATTGGCCATGGATAAGACATCGAGGGAAGAGCTGCTTTACGATAAGACTCAGAGGAAAAGAAATGATCGAATTGTTAATATTTAATGACCGTTAATTACTGATTATTTAAAGATTGATAAAGAAACTTTTTTCTAACCTACATCACACCAGACCGCATCTCACAAACTTTAAGTAATCAATTGTTTATTACCACTCTATTGGTTTACTTTAATGCGTGTTACCTCGCACATTTCTCAAAATTTCCTGATTTTTAAAAGTAAATTAATAACAATTTTGTTTCGTTAAAAAGAAAGAAAAGTCGTTTGATGCAAACTTACTACAGTATACCAATGTCATCAACTAACATCAGAAGGTCCAATTTTTTTTATATTCCCTCTCTGGTTTAATTATGGATAATCATTATTATGTAGGTTTTTAAGCCAAATTAAGCCATGACAGTATTTTTTATTTTTGAGCATACATAAAAAATGCTTAAACGTTTCATAAAAATAAACCTACACTTTTTAAATTTGACTTAAAGAGTCCTAGAAAATCATTTTGTTTTTACATGCTATTAATATTTAACTAATAGTTCCTTCGGCTGTAAAAGGTTATTTATTAGATGGAATTGTTTGAATTAACGCTATTATAACAAATAGCAATAAATCAGGGGCCAATATGCTCCATAAAATAATAATCTTATTTTATTGTTAGCTGAGATTTTTTAACTTTTGCCCTTGGATGATGAAATGTAAGTAGATTAAACTAAATTTCTCAAACTTTAAGGAAAGACAAGAAATTTGTTTATTTATTAATATGAAATTCTCAAAATAGTCTGTAGCTAACATAGTTGAAGAGAAATTTTAAAACTAACGCTTGAATAAAAATATAAATCACGATTATAATATTTGGCAAAAAAACCACATTCAAGACGAAACAACTTTTATTTTCA